GAATCTTATCTTGGATGCCCACGGCACATCTCCACTCTAGCTGCCCACCTGCACTGCCTGGGGCAGTCCATGTTCTTTTTCTGGAAACTTGCTTTTCAAAGGAACATCCAACCAACCAGCTGGTTACCCTCGAGTCAACCTCGACTCACAGCGACGCCACACGTGTCAGAGCAGAATTGGGCTCCATAAGGTTTTCTGTGGCTGATCTTTCAGAAGGGATCACCAGGCCTTTCTTCCAAGGGGCCTCTGAGTGGACTGGAACCTGAAACCTTTCAGTTTGCAGCTAAGCACAGTTAGCCAATTGAGCCACCTAAGGGACTCCCCCAAGGAACATCCATGGTACAAATTGGAACCACAATGCAGTACTGCTACACACCCACTAGAATAGCTAAAGTTAAAATTCTGCCCATACCAAGTGTTGTAAGTGGAGTAATCGGTGCTCTCCAGCACTGCTGGTAGAGGTAAACAGGTACAGTCACTGAGGCAAACAGGTTGGCAGTTTCCTAAGTTAAACATACACCCAGCTTACAATCCAGCAATCCCACTGCTAGGTATTTATGCAAAGCCTAAGTCCACCAAAAGGTGTGCATACAAATGTCCTTAATGGCTCCATTTGTAATAGCCCCAAACTGGAAACACCCCAGATGTCCATCATCAGCTGACTGGACAAAAATCGTGATAGATTCGTATACGAGGTCCCTGGGTGGCACCAAGTGTTTGCACTCAACTATTAACCTAAATGTTGATGGTTTGGACCCCCTGGTGGCACAGCGGCAGAAAGGCCTGGTGATCTGTTTCGGAAAAGATTACAGTCACAAAAACCGTATGAAGCAGTTCTACCCTGTCACACGTGGGGTCACCATGAGTCAGAATCAACTCCACTGCAACACGTCTCATCCTGCCCCTCCACACAGTGGACTAGTGCTGAGTAAGAAAAAGCAGCGATCGGCTGATGCCCGCACAACCTGGGTGATTCTCAGAGTAACTGTGCTGAGTGAAAGAAGCCAGACCCCCACCCCCCAAACGGTAAGATCCCAATTCCAGAAATGCAAACAGACCTATAGTGACAGAAAGCAGATCCGTGGTTGCCTGGAGGCAGGGCAGGAGGGTGGGTTATGAGGAGGCCAGGGAAACTTCTGGGCGTGATGCTGCCTATCTTGATCATAGGGGTGTATACATATGTCAAAACTCAAGCAAATCGTAATTTTAACTCTGCAGTTTACTGCATGTCAATTACACCTAAGAGAGAGCTATAAAAATGGAAAACTGTTTTTAAAAAGTCACGTATAAAGGGCACGCACAGGAGAGGCTGGGTGGGGGTCAGGCTGTGAAGCAGGGGTGAGCTCCAATGCCAGGGCAGGGAGGTGGGGCAGGTGTGAGAGGGGGAGGGGACACAGACAAAGCAGAGTGGGCCCTGCACCCTCCCCAGGAGCAGCTCACCCTCTGAGTGCCTGACACTGCCTACCCTGCTGGAAATAGACTTGTGGGATGTCCATTCACGGAGACACAAACCATAGCTCAGCCTGGAGGAGGGACTGATTTCAATGAGGAGGATTGGGTGAGGCTTGTGGGAGACCACGGGTTTGAACTAACTGGTCTTGTATTGGAGAAACTGAGTGGTAAGTCAGCAGCTGACCTCTAATGAACACTGGCATACACTCTTGTAAGTGCTATGCATGCAGTATCCCATTTGGTCCTTACAACACCCCTATGGATGGGCACTCACCACCCCCATTTTACAGAGGAGGGAATGGTTGCAAAACTTGGCCAGGTCTTATAGCTACCAGGTGACAGTCCTGAGATTGGGCCCTGGTAGTCGGGCCTCAGACTTCACACCCTTCCTAATGCCTGCCTTCTGCCTCGGAGTACACGTGTGTGAATGCAGAATATATTGGAAGGTTTGGGTATGATTTGGGGGGGGGGGCTTTGAGACCCTCCCTTTAAAAATCATTATCACTAACCATTAGTCTACAATGGAAAAGGTAGGAAGTGTTGAACGAACAGAGAGCCAGTTAGCCCACATCACATGCAGACAGCCCCATGGTAATAATGTTTATTTTATTTAGATGAATGGTGACCTCTGGGTGTGGATTTAGTACAAGGTTTAAAGAGTAGCTCAGAGCAACAGTCTTGGGGGTTCCTCTAGACTCTAGCGATCAAGTAAGTCTGGCCTTATTTCAGATTTTGAATTTGTTTGACATTTTTCTCCCATTCTATCTGGGAGCATCCATTGTGCCAGAGGGGTCAGTAGGGTAGCCAGGCACCCTCTAGTTCTTCTGGTCTCAGAACAGTTGAAGCCGTGGTTCATGTAGGCTGTCAGTCCTGTCGACCAGCTTCGTCTTTGAGTCTTCAGTTTCCTTCTTTCTCTTTTGCTCCAGACAAGTGGAGATGGGTCCTTGTTGGTTGCTGTCAATAGACCCCCAACTATTGGTGAGCCTACGTACAACAGAACAAAATGCCACCCAGTTCTGCACCATCTCCAAGACTGGATGCAGTGTGTACTATTGTAATCCATAGAATTTTCACTCGCTGTTGATTTTTGAAAGTAGATCACCAGGCCTATCTTCCTAGTCTGTCTGACTCTGGAAGCACCACTGAAACCAGCTCATCCTCCTAGGAACATACAAGCCCCCACTGACAGATGGGTGGTGGCTGCACCTGAGGTCCACTGGCCTGGAAAAGACCTGGGTCTCCCACACAGAAGGCAGAAATTCTACCTCTGGACCACTGTTGCCCTCAATATACTGACAGATGTATAAAAGATGATCCTTAGTTGTCATCTTGTTTCAATATGGCGGGCCCACTCACAAAGCCAATGCCCTTGAACAAGAGAGCAGGTTGATCTCAAGCAGCGATTCTATTGAGAACTTATTGGTCATTGTTATTGGACAATATTGAGATGGGGAGTGGCCTTTCAAAGTGGTATGGAACCCCCAGGCAAACGAAGTCCAGCTCTTTCTGGTCATGGGTAATGCTGGCACACCCCTCTGCATGTTGGGGGGCATCTTGGCAGAGTATACTGCTAGGGACTTGTCAGGAGCAAAGCAAAGGCAACCTTGCCATTGGGCCCTACCAAGTGTGGGAAGGGGTGCCAGCATAGCCCATCCACAAAGAACCTTCGCGTAGGAGAAAGGCACCGTGACAGACAGACCTGCTCACAGATCTAGGGCTGGGCAGTTGTATGGGCGGAGATGGACATCTTAGCTTCAGTGAGTGATGTCCGTAGGTTCTGAAAGGTTTTTTATTAACCTTTCTCAGTTCTGGGTGTGTTTGTGGTTGACCAAATGCAAGATCAAGTTCTTTCTGGTAATAGATTTTGCCAGTGTGCTTTAAGGAGCTCGGGGGTTGTAGCAGTTGAAGCATTTGGCTGCTAACCAAAAGGTTGGTGGTTGGATCCCACTAGCTGCTCTGTGGAAGAAAGATGAGGCAGTCTGCTTCCATAAAGGTTTATAGCCTTGGAAGCCCAATGCGGGGTGCTATGAATTAGAATTGACGTGATAACAGTGAGTTTGTTTTTTTCTTGGTGTGCTTTAGTTTTCATTACGGAAAATTGCAAACACTCAGAGAAGAGAATCACATAGAAGCCCCCCAGGTACCCAACACAGAGATGAACGTTTTGCTTGCCTTTGCTGGTGACTGACCTTATTCATTTCATTACCTATTGAGGTGTAACAGCTTTACGATGAAGTACACAGCTTGACGAGCTGTCGCCTTTGTGTACAACTAGGAAACCTCCATCCCAGTCCCCGGCCTCCATCTTGTCCCTTCCTGGGATCTGCACTTTCAGAAACTTCAGGCACAAAGAGAACAATAGAACAGTTGCTGTCTAGTCAGCCCTGACCCATGGCGACCCCGTGTGTGTCAGAACATTTCAATGGCTGAAGGAGACTGAAAATGTACAGTGTTTTCAGTGGCTAACGTAGATTGCCAGGCCTCACTTCCAAGGTTCCTGTGTGTGGGCTCCAACCCCCAACCTTTCGGTTAGCAGCTGAGAATGTTAACGGTACCGCCCAGGGACTCCTGCAGAGCACAGGGTGGCATTATATTGGGCCAATATGTCTACAGATGGAAAAGTCTGACTTCTTTCCTCCCTTCCTTTCTGACTTCCTAGCTCCCACCTCCCATCCTTCCTTTCAAGCTTATTCATTGACCTAGTTACTGGTCTAATTTGGAAGGTAAACTCTGGGTTATAAAAAGATTAAATTGGCATTGGAGATTAACCACTGTTTTGGGTTGTGTTAATTTTAAAAACCTTCCTGCCTGCCCACCTGCCTTCCTGCCCTCCTTTGCCTTCTCACTGAACGCTGGCTAACTGCTGGTCAGGCTGATCCCTACAGTGGATAAAACCAAACTAACTCATTGCCATAGAGTTGAATCTGACTCATAGCGACCCCCATTGGGTTTCCAAGGCTGTAAATCATTACGGAAGTAGATGGCCCCATATTCATTCCGCAGAGCAGCCAGTGGGTTTGAACCGCTGACCTTCTGTTTAGCAGCCAAAATGCCTTATCCACTACACCACCAGAGCTCCTTTATAGTGGATCCAAAAATAAAACAAACCTACCACCATCAAGTTAATTCCGACTTATAGCAAATCCTCCTTGGGTTTCCGAGGTGGTATCTCTATGGAAGTAAATTGCCCAATCTTCCTTCCGAGGAGTGGCTGATGAGTTTGAACCACCAAACTTCTGATTAGCAGTCTCTAAGTCTAGCAGGCTTAGGCACTAAGCCACCAGAGCCCCTTTTATAGTGCAGAGTGGAGATAAAACTCAAACAAAACCACCCTTGGTGCTTGCCCCTCCCCAGCGTTCAGTTTCCTGGTGACCAGAGATGACTAAAGCTGATTCCTAGGAAGAGTGAGTTGCCTGTCCCTGGAGGTGTTCCAGGTTGCAGGCTGTGTAATCTAAGCCTCTGACTAGAGGCTGAACTGGCTGACCTCTGTTTGTGGGATGAGTCCAGAGGAGGCTGGAGGGTGGTGACATGCCCACGTGTCCCTGCAGACGCTCCAGGAGATCTTCCAAGCAGAGAACACCATCACGCTGCTGGAAAGAGCCATCATGGCCAAGGAATGCCCGCTGAAGGTGGCACACACGCGGCTGGAGTGCCGAACTCGGCGCCCCAACGTGGAGCTGTGCAGGGACATCCCACAGTTCAAGTGAGTACCAGAGGCCTGGAGGCCCCCAGGGTCCAGGGAAGAAGGGGTAGGTCTCAGGAGCTCCAGGAAACCTGGTCTGAAAAGTCCCATCACTCAGCACATTGGATCCCACAACTCAACAGCGCCCTGGGCAGGAGGTCTGGAGGTCAAGGTCCGGCCTGGCTGTCCCTCTGTGCACTGCGGTCTTCCCAGTCATCTACGTGAGGGATGGTTCTGTTACTCCTCTGTGCCCTGGAAAGCCTCCAGCTTTCCCTACCAGAGTCGAGGAGAGGAAGCCTCTGAGGCTGGACACCTGGCCTTCACTTCTGATAGCTTCACGCTCCTTCCAGGCTCCAAGAAGGAGGCAGGCAGCTCTTGCCCCCCTCATTCTCCCGTTTCCTCTCTGTAGAGTTCTTCCTAATGAGCCCTCAAGCACCAGAGGCTGCTGAGTCAACTCTGACTCATGGCGATCTCATGTCTCAGAGCAGAACTGCTCCCACAGGGTTCTCAATGACTGATAGTTTTGGAAGTGGATTGCCAAGCCTTTCTTCTGAGGTGCCTCTGGGTGAACTTGAACCTCCAGCCTTTCTGTTAGCAGTTGAGTGTGTTGACCTTCTCCACCACCCAGGGACTCTGGTGAGCCCTTGGAATAGCCCGAATGTGTCCTCACTGGGCGGGCTGTCTTGCTCACCAGCACACAGGGGGCGCATCAGTGTTTGTTCTGGTTCCCTAGTGCCTCTCTGACAGGAATATACCACCAGTGGGATGGATCGAACAAACAGGAGTTTATTCTTACAATCTGGAGGCTTCAAGTCTACATTCAAAGTGCCAGGCTCTAGGGGCTGGGTGAAAGCCCCTCAAACCTTGGGCTTTAGCTCTGCCTCCTGCTGCCGGCCCACTGAAGCTAGAGGTATCTCTTCACTCAGACAGCTGCTGGCTGCTGAGACTGACAAGCCCAAGGTTGACAAATGAAAAGGCACAGTCCCGATGTTACCAAACTACATGACAGGCCATTCATTCAAGTCCATTGAAAGTCCTGAGGTCAGCAGAGCATGGTAGGCTGCTGAACAATGACATGGCTACATGCAGGGTTCCAGCATGCCATAAGCTAGAGACCGTTCCCCAAGGCTTCTCCTTATATACAGGAAGCAGACCACATCTCTAAGGCAGCTACTCAGCTGCTCACAGTAGATTCCACCCTGGAATTGATTATCAATCTCGTCACTGGGAATACTAAATCCAGCTGCCCAGCCACTCAACCAAGCCCAGCCAAGTTGACACACAAACTGAACTAGCACCGTGTTGAATGAGCTGTGTCTCCTCCTCTGCTCTCACCCAGGCTCGTGAATGAGGTGTTCACCATCGACGACACCTTGCAGACCCTCAAGCTGAGGCTGCGGGAGACGCAGGACACCCTGCAGCTGCTGGTGATGACCAAGTCCCGGCTGGAGCACGAGCTTGCCATCAAGGCCAACACGCTGTGCATCGACAAGGTGAAGTGCATGGGTATGCGGAAGACCTTCCCCAGCACCCCACGCCTCGTCGGCTACACCTGAGCGGCCGCCCGGCCCTCACACCCTGCCCTGGGCCGGCTCACTCCGTGATGTAGAGTTGGTAAAGTCAGAAACACAAAATGCACATTTTCTCTCTTTCCTCCTATCATGAAAAATATATATTAAAAGCCAGAATAAATGTGGCAAAACCAAAGGTCCAGGGGTCATTCCTTGGTGCAGAAGAGGCTTCCTGGTTGGCCCTGGGCAGAGACAGAGCTTTGCAACAGGAAGCAGATCACATCCCTAAGGCAGCCCTGGAACGGAAGGGTGCCTTGTTCTTTCACCTGTTTGTCCATTTAGGAGCACAGTGTAAACCTTGGTATCCAAAGACTGGACACCAGAACTCAGAGGTCAGAGCCCAGCTCTGTCACTTACAAGCTGTGTGGCTTCGAACACATCACCTCTCCTGAGTGCCCACAAAATGAGGTTACATAAAGGCAGAGGTAACTGTTGGCAGTGTGGGGCGGGGGAGCCTAGGCCTTGAAGGCAGAAGTCCTAGGGCTGAATCCCAGCCTTGATGTTGTAGGTGTCATAGAGTTGGCCCCCGATTCGTGGTGACTCCATGCCCAATGGAACAATACGTCGCCCTGCCCTATACCTCTCCCATGATCAGGTGGGGATCAGACCCACAGGGTTCTCACAGGCTGATTTTCAGAAGGGGATCACCAGGTCTTTCTTCTTAGTCCATCTTCAACTGGACACTCCAGTGAAGACTGTTTAGCATCATAACAACACGCAAGCCTCCACTGACAGGTGTGGGGGTGCCTTGGCCGGGAATTGAACCCAGCCTCCTGTGTAGAAGGGGAGAAGTCGACCACTGACCCACCAACACCTTCCCACGTCATATAATCACTCATTATGGTGTATTTGTCAAAACTAAGAAATTAACACTGCACCAATACTATTAACTAAAGCTCAGACTTTTGGGGTTTCACCACAGTTTCTGTGGCTGCCCTTTCCTCTCTCCCAGGATCCATCTGGGGTACCACACTGCATGTTGTCTCCTCTTGGCTGTGACGGTTTCCCAGTCTTGCCTTGCTTTCTGTGACCTTGGTAGTTTTGAAGAGTACTTGTCACATACTTTGTGGAAGGTCTGAATTTGGGCTTGTCTAGTGTTTTTCTCTTGATTACACTGTGATTATGTGGTTTTGGAGATGAGCGTCACAGAGCAGCCTCCTCCTCATCCTGTCACATCAGGGGGCACATGACATCACCACTGACGTTGGTCTTCCTCACTCAGTTGAGGTGGTGTCTGCCAAGTTCATTCACTCTAAAATTACTGAAATGACTGGGAAGTTTTCCCTTTCCATACTCTGTTTTTTGGAAGTGAATCTCTCAGTCCGGCTACACCCAGGGTGGTCCAGCCCCATGTGGAAGAAGAGTTACCTACATATGTTGTTTTCAATTCTTCTGGGAAACAGTTAAGTCTCTTTTCCTTCATTTGTCCGGTCGTTGATGTCTGTCAGTACAGATTCATGTATATTTATTTCCAGTTTGAGCTATAATCCAATTCCACGTTATTTCTTTTACTGCTCAATTTGTTCCAGCTTTGGCCACTGGGGCCTTTTTCCAGTTGGATCCTGTATCCCTTTGACATGCCTCAACCCTTACTTTCTGGCACTTACTTTCTAGGCCCCTCTTGTGTTTTTCCTGCCCCAGCCCTGGACTCAGCCATTTCTCTAAGGCGTGGTGCATTTATTTATTGGAGAATGGGATTTAGAAGCCCAGGCCTGGGCGCCAGATATGCTCATTGCTAAGAAAAGTTATCTTTCATCATCATCATCATAAAAGACTATGGGTTTGGTGCTCCCAAGGCCTCGGATGAGCTAGGGAGAAGTGCTTCTGGCAGAGTGATGAGACCAGAAGGTAAAGTAGTCAGGGGGATAGGGAGGCCCTGAGATTTTAGTCGCCTCTGTACCCTTGGTAAGGAGCTCTGGTGGTGTAATGGTTAAAACACAAGGCTGCTAACCAAAAGGTCAGCAGTTCAAATCTACCAGCCGCTCCACAGGAGAAAGTTTTTGGAACCCTATGGGGCATGTCTACTCTGCCTTCAGGGCCGTTATGAGTTGGAATCAACTCGATGGCGAGGGTTTGTTTTGGGGTGTAGTACCCCGGTCTTCACACACAGTGGATGTCCCATAAACAATTCATGAGGTGAACAGTAACGGCTAACAAGGACATTCCATCTCGTACTGGCAGTGATTGCTGCATTTTAGGGGAAAGGAGTATTGCCCTTGGGTGTGGGGAGGGTACCCCCGTCCTATCTGCTCCTTACAGCCGAGGGACCAGGAGACGCAGGATCACCCTGCAGCTCCCAGAAGCTGGTACACGGACCACAGCCTCCCAGCACGTCTCCCCTGCTGCAGACGTGGCCCAGGCAGGAAGTTCTAGAGACACCCCAAATGCTGGCTCCCTGCCAGGCCTGAGCACCAACTGGGAGACCTGGAGGGTTTTTTCCCAGCTGACCTGCTTCCCTATTGGCTCCAGAGGGATCTGTCCAGCTGGCTCCAGGAAACACTTGGCCCCAGAGGAGGGTGTGTGTGAGTGTGTATGAGTGTGCACGTGTGTGAGTATGCATTTGTGTGTATGTATATGTGTATACGTGTGTATGCATTTGCACACATGTGTGTGCATGCATGTGTTTATGTGTGTGCATGTGTAGGCGTGCACATATTTATGTCTTCATACATGTATGTGCATGTGTGTGTAGTATGTATCTGTGTACATTTGTTTATGTGTCATGTGTATATCTGCATTCCATGTGTGTCCATGTGTGTGTGTGTGCATTTATTTATGTATGTATGTGTGTCCATATGTGTGTAGTGTGTATACATATGCATGTGTATATGACAAGGTGACAAGCCTGGGCCCAAATCTCCATTCACAGCAAATCTTTTAAAACACATTGAATCACTAACCTCAAACTAAACTCACTGCCATCAAGTCGACTCCAACTCACAGCGACCCCCTTTGAGTTTCCGAGGCAGTAAATCTTCACGGAAGTAGACGGCCCCGACTTCCTTCTGCAAAGCCAATATGAAACAGAGAAGGTCATGGGGTTCCCTGGAGCAGCAGGAGCTCAGCATCATGGGCTTCAGGCTAGAGACCCCTCAGATCCCAGCATCTGGGAAAGGATCCAGCCAACCAGTTGCGGTTTAGTCAATGCTGACCCATGGGTTGCAAGGTAAGACAATGCTCCACAGGGTTTTCAAAGCAGATTGCCAGGCCTTTCTTCCAAGGTACCTTTGGGTGGGTTTGAACCTCCAACCTTTTGGCAAGTAGATGCATGGCTAACCATTTACACCACTGGGGCCCCTAAGTAAATGTGGTGGTTCAGTTTGTGTGTCAACTTGGCTGGGCCTGGTTGAGTGGCTGGGCAGCTGGATGTAGTATTCCCCATGATAAGACTGATAATCAACTCCAGGGTGGAATCAACTGTGAGCAGCTGAGTAGCTGCCTTCGGGCTGTGGTCTGCTTCCTGTATATAAGGAGAAGCCTTGGGGAATGGTCTCTAGCTTATGGCATGCTGGAACCCTGCATTTAGCCGTGTCATTGTTCAGCCTGCCATGCTCTGCCAACCTTGGAACTTTCAATGGACTTGAATGAATGGCCTGATGTGTGGTTTGGTAACATCGGGACTGTGCCTTTTTACTTGTCAACCTTGGGCTTGTTGTTGTTGTTTTGTGCTGTCGAGTCAGACCTGACTCACAGCGACCCCTCCTTGGGTTTCCGAGGTGGTATCACTACGGAAGTAGATTGCCCCATCTTCCTTCTGAGGAGTGGCTGGTGGGTTTGAACCACCAG